GTGGAACGTTTTCTTTTAATTAATTTGTACCTAAAATATGCTAAGCTGTAATTGCAGTTTCCAAATACCTGCATGAAACAAATAACAGCTTAGGTGGCTTTGGAAAAATTGTATATTTTGTATTGTATATTTTGTATTGTATATTTTGCTGACAGTTCAACTCACTGACAGTGCAGAATAATAACCTATAACTTTTGGTAAAGTTTTTGCGTCATTATTAAAAAATCTTGGTAAATCGAATTACTATGGAAAAAGTTAAAAAATATACATTATGCAAACATTGTGAACAACTCTGTGATCTCAAAGTGTATCACACAAATTTAAAATATTTGTCATATCTCATTGATGAATGTAGTTTGGAGTGCAGTTTACAAAATCCTGAGGAAAATCTATTTAGTACAATACAGAAGAATTTACTCAATGTGTCTACCAAGTTTTCTCGAATTTGTAAAGTTAAGTTTAACCGAATTGTTTTAAAATATTATATTTATTTACTTAAGCATAGACATTTAGTTAATACGAGTGTCCTTTCTTACTCACCACTAAAGAAAGAAGATTTTTTAATTGATTTTGAAAAACATTTAATAGATGTAATTAATAATAAAGAAATTTAAAAAAAAAAAACCAAAAGTAGTAGTAATTGTTTAATTTTGATTTTCACTAAAAGTAAACAAAAAGTCTTATATGAATCAAGCCCATTACAAGTGTCATTAATTTAACATAAAAATTTCCACTTATTAATTTCGTCCAGGGTACCTTGGAGGATGAAAATTTCCGGAATTTTTTTTGGGTTACCATGGTAACCAAACAAAAACATCTGATTGCCTTAAAAATGGTGGTGTGAAATTTTCAATAAAATAGTAAAGTCTAAATTACCTATATTGTCTAACAAATGTAAAACCCTTGCAGATACACAGTCTGTTAGAGAGAGTGCAGACACGGTCAAAAGATATTTATAAAGGTCAGTTTAATACTTAACACCGTTCTAAAAATCTATCTGATCTATTTATAGGAAACTATATCTAGGTAACTGACTTGGATGTGTATGCCAAAGTGACAAGAGTTTTAAAAGAGTAATTGAAAGCGTTTAAGGACGATTTTATTAGCAAAATAGATGGAATCTAATACTTGTTCCTTACTACACACAGCTACGATTTACTCAGACATTGTCTCCTCCCAAAGTCAATCAGCCTCAAAATTTATGATTACTTCTTTATAAAGGGAAACATTAAAGATAATATGCAGTGGACGGTATTTTCATCAACGAAGATCTAGTTGAAAAGAGTTATAAATTATGAAAGCGATAAAAATATTCAATCCCAGAAATGTTTGGACACGAGGAGGAAGGATATACCTATATTAAATCTAAAAACGACGTCGTACACATTAAAGATGAACAAGATTTATCAAACATATCTCCACCATAGGCCTACGGACTATTGAACGATGGTACTGCCAACAAGTTCTTATCTAGAAGATCGGTTTTTGGTTCGGTTTATTTTTATAGAAACATTATTGTTTTGTTGTTTCGGTGGTGTGTTTTTTTATAGGGACATTAATGTTTTATTATTTCTATTTAGAATCGTAATTTAATAAAACTAAAATATGAATTTGTTTGCTATATATATATATATATATATATAAATTCTTTTTTTTTTTAACTATTTAGTTGACTATTTTTATGGAAACGATTTATTATAATAACTCCAAAAATTTTAATTTTAATTTCTATTAATTATCTATTTTCAGGGGCACTTAATACAATGAACGAATTTTTAGTTTATTACCAAAATGTCAGGGGATTGAACACAAAAACTCATGATTTATTTAGGAATACTTGTGAACAAGATTATGATGTAGTTTTGATGACGGAGACATGGTTGAGAGAGGGAGTAGTAGACGAAGAATTAGTTGATTTAAGTAAATACAACCTAATTAGGGCAGACAGAAATAAAGAAATAACCAATAAGGTAAAAGGGGGAGGAGTAATTATTGCGTTAAAAAAAAAAGTTTAAAATACTGAAAGTAATAAAGAATAGTACTCAATATGAGGCAATAATACTCAAAATTAAGATAAAAAGCCATATACAAATTACATTGGCCTGTATATATATTCCGCCGGGTATCTCTTATGCTGTTTTTGATTCTTGCATACATTTTTTACAGGACAATATTACTGCGACTAATGAAAACTTTATATTCGGAGACTTTAACTTACCGGAAATCAGTGGCTCATTCATTCCCAACCACAATTTTAATACAAAACTTTCTACTTTAAATGACTTCTTAAATTTTAATTTTTTTAACTTGTATAACGATGTCACTAACTTTCAAGGAAGGACTTTGGATTTAGTAATATGTTCAGACGAAAAATCATGCAATATTACACATGCATCAAGTCCTTTAATTATTGAGGACTCATACCATCCTTCACTAGAAATTATTCTACAATTTGTAGAAAACTTATCAGAACATGAAGCCAAGAGTAACAACAATTTTAAATATAATTTAAAAAAATCTAATTTCAATCTTATGGCAGAACTTATCAAGGACGTTAATTGGAATGAGGTATGTTTAGAATCTAATGTAGATAGAGCATTAAATAATTTTTATAAAATTTTAAATAATATTTTTTCAATGTGTTCCTGAATTTAAATTATATAAAAATCACAATAAATTTCCGGTATGGTACAATAGAGAAATCAAAGAGTTAATTGCGGAAAAGAATAAGTTAAGGAAAATAAAGCACATTTCAGCCTATCATACTGAAAAATATATAGAGATTAGGAAAAAATTAAAATATCTTACGAAAAAAGAATATTCACATTATGTTAAATCTATTGAAGATAAGGTAAGCACAGACATTAATGTTTTCTGGAATTATGTTAGCAAGAGTAGGGGTCAGAGTTCAACTAATGAAAATTACATTCACGACGATAAGGAAATTCCGTCCAAAGATACAGCACAATGCTTTGCAAAGTTTTTTGCCAGTGTATACTCCACAAATGCAACCGACTACAATGTAAATTTTAAAAGTTTTCAAAATATAGCTAACGATACATTTTCAATAAAATCTATAACTGTTTCAGACTTTAATAAAGCTATTAAAAAGCTTAAACCAAAAAAATCAGCGGGTGTAGATGGTTTACCACCATACATACTGAAAGGCTGTCAAGAATGGTTACGTGACCCATTACTGCACATATTTAATCTGATAATCAATAATGCTGCCTTTCCAGAGCAGTGGAAGACTTCAATTTGTACCCCAATACATAAAACTGGGGATAAACGTAGTATAAAAAGTTATAGGCCGATATCTGTTATGTGTGCTCCTTCAAAGCTCTTTGAACAAATTATTTATAGTAAACTGTATGCATTTGTCGAAAATACCATTGTAGAACAACAACACGGGTTTGTATCCAAAAAATCTGTGAATTCAAATCTGTTAATATACATCAACGAAGCAAATGACTCATTAGAAAATAAGACTCAACTAGACACAATATTTACAGATTTTAGCAAGGCCTTTGATAAAGTGGATCATGGCGTCTTACTACAAAAGATTTATCGTTTTGGACTATCTGAAAATATTATGAATCTTTTTAAAAGTTATTTACAAAATCGATTTTTTGTAGTAAAACACGATGGAAACACTTCAGGTAAATTTCACGCTTCATCGGGGGTTCCACAGGGATCTAACTTGGGTCCCTTGTTTTTCCTCTTATTTATTAATGATTTGCCAGATGTTATTAGATATTCCAAATGTTTACTTTTTGCTGATGATGTAAAAATATTTAAGCCTATACAAACCGTTAGAGATTGTTCAGCTTTGCAAAAAGATATAAACAGTGTATTGGAATGGAGTGCTCAATGTAAATTAGACTTTAATATTAAAAAATGCAATGTAATGTCAATTATTCGACAAAAGGATCCAATTATTTTTGATTACTGTATGGATAATGAGTCACTAAAACGGGTATATGAATTCAAAGACTTAGGAATTACGTATGACTATAAACTATCTTTTAAAAAACACATTGAAAATGTAGTAAAATCTGCAAATCGCGCTCTTGGATTTACGATACGACAGACGTCTCTTTTTGTCAAAATCGATTCTATAAAATTGATATATGTTACGTTAGTAAGATCTAAACTTGAATATGGCTCTGTAATATGGAATGGAGAATACCAAACCATTTTGCAGGAATTAGAAAGAATACAAAACAAATTTTTAAGATACCTTTACTTTAAAAAATACTTTATTAGACCAGATTATAATAGTGTCAGAACAACACAATTACGAAGTGAATTTAAAATACCTTCTTTAGACTGTAGGAGAAAAATGTTTGCTATACTTTTTTTGTATAAAATCATAAATAACCATATAAATTCCGCAGAAATATTGTCAGTTTTGCCATTTAATGTACCTCCTAGACCTACGCGTTCCGCGATTATGTTCAATATTCCCTTTGTAAGTAGCACTCTTCGATCACCTCTCCTAACCATGCTCCGTTTAGCAAATAATATTACTTGCTTGCACGAAGTAGATTGGCATATGCCTCTAATAACATTCAGACACCTAATTTATAGGTATATTGTGAACTTGTATGTTTAATTATTTTAGTTTTTCCATTTCTTCTTTTATTATATGATTTGCTTTTTATTTTTTAGAAATTTTTTTTCTCAATATGAGTTTGTGTTTAATCCCCCTATATCTATATATCTATTTATTTAATATGTATATTAATACGTTTTGATCGATTGTGTAAATAATAAATATTGTAAAGTCTATCCTTGTAATTTAGGCCAGTAAGCCTATTAGGATGGAACAAATAAACAAATAAAACAAATAAATAAATAATAAACTACATGATTTTAATAAAGACCTAAATCTTTGGTCATGTCTAAACAGTTCGATTTTTAAATACTATTCAATTAATATTTCCAAGTATAAATTGACATTTTTTGGAAAAAAATATAAATTAAATAATTATACGAACCAGTCGTCAGTTGGAATGTCCTCCAAGGGCGGGTCCAAGCAGTAAATGTGATATTCATCATCACATTCGTCGCATAATAAAATGCTTTTAAGGTCTTGTTTTCCTCGGCATATTTTACAACCGCAGTCTTTGCATTTTTTATTCAAATCATCCCGGCACGTCGAACAATTATATGGATATATACCTGAAACCAAAGTATAATTTTGAATTTAAATGAATGCAAAGATTTTTATCCTAACAGTAAAAAATTAGAGTGTTATCAACATTTGAAAAATTCTAAGGTGCTCTGCATTACCATTATTAATATATTCCAGTTGAGAGCATTAAATCTAACAGCATTCGTAAATTTTATACTTAAATTTCTGACCGTTTCAAGAAAAAGAAAAACGAGCAGAATGTAATAAACTCGGCGGGGTTTGATAATAAAGTCCCACAGATTAAATATCCACTCAGGATTTACTTTAGAATTAGTTTTATTGAATTAGCAACACAGTGGGCTTCACACAGAACAATGAATAATAAAAATGTCAACTGTCATATATCATTGTACAGTACCAACGGAAAATATTAAATATTAGTGAGGCATTTTATAGAGTTTCTAACAAGAAAATAAACTAAAAACATGTACAGAACACTCTTCGAACTAGATCATTTACAAGACATACTAAGACCTCCAACTTTGTTTTCTGAGTAAAGGTTATGAGCTGTGCCTTGTTAGAGTTTACCACATTTCTCTTAGTATAGATAATAAACGTTACTTACGTGGCGTATATTTTATTTTACGTTTTTCTTTATCAATGTCCAATAATTCAGGTACTTCTATTCGTAGGATTTCATTTTTAAAAACAATTGTACAGTTCTCTATTGGTGTTTCGTCCCTGCCAACGAGAACAGTTCCAGAGATATTCGTCCTCGTTATATCGGTAATCTTAAAATCAAACCTAAGAGAAAAAATTTGGATATTTAAAAAATATATATTATATGTTTTGTGATTGGGTTCTAATTAACAGCGCTATTTCTAAATTGGCGCTCAGAATCAGTAATAATGTAATCGTTTCGGAGTATTAAAGCACTAGCATAGCATAGGAAATAAAGAAACAATAATTAAAATTGTACTGTAAAAGACGGTAATTACAAAAAAGCAGATGGCAGACTAGAAAAAGATGATTCAAAAGTGTGATGTATAATGTCAATAAACTGAAAATATAATAATAATAAATTTTACAAAGAGGCACAGTTTATAGTCTATTTTTATGTATGAGAGTAATAAAACAGCATTTCTAATGCAAAACTTAGTACGGTCATTTTAAATATTTTTACAGAATAATCTAAATATTTCCTAAAATTTTAATAAATGTACCTGAGCTATTACAAGTTTTGAGTCTTTTATTGGTCCTTTATAAACATAAGCTGTACAGAACAATAGAAGAAGATTTGTAAAGGCCAAAAGCCCTGTGTATTAAAGATTACATAGCCGTATCTTAAGATTACTTTCAATAAGTACCTATTTGCCAATTTTGTTTTATTTTAATTCCAAGAATTTCTTACAGTAATCGAATTATAAGTAGATAAATACCTTCCCAACAAATTACACCGAAAATGCGATTATAGGTTTTCCATTTAGTAAGGAGGTCCAAGTTATGTATTCTTGGAAGGTGCAGTGTGAATTCTAGTGGATCATTTAAAATTTGGAAGGGCCGCGTAAACGACAAAAAATCGGTCCTTTAACAGTTAATGAAAAAACATTAATATTTAATTGTTTTAAATCATTTACAGACAAACATTTATGTAAAAGTGTTGATGACACAGTGGAATTAGTTAGTAGTACGCTTGGTGTTGGGAAATCTACGATTTACAGAGTTGTTAAAGAAGAGAAATGTGGCGAGTTTCAAACAGCACGTAAAGCTCCAGGAAAACCAAAATTTCAATTAGAAAATCTTTTGAAAGAAAGACTTCGAAGGAAAGTGCATGCGTTCTTCTTTAGAAAAGAATTTCCGACAGTAGACAAAGTTCTTGCCACAGTTCGAGATGATAAGGATTACCCTGAAATGAGTCGAAGCACACTATGGAAACTTTTAAAAGAAATAGGTTTTCTATGGAAAAAGCATCCCAGAAAGTCTATTTTAATAGAAAGAAGCGATATTGTAGTATGGAGAAGAAATTACCTAAGGACTATAAAAGAAATGAGAAACCACAGAAGAAATATATTTTATTTAGATGAAACATGGATCAACGAGGGACATAAACCAAATAAATTTTGGCAAGATGAAACTGTTACAAGTCGAAGACAGGCTTTTTTAAATAATTTATCTACTGGTTTAAATACATCAGCAGGAAATAGGCGCAGACTAATAATAGTACACATCGGTAGTTCAAACGGTTTTGTTAAAGGTGGTTTATTGACTTTTGAATCTACTCGTGCCGGTGACTACCATGAGGACATGAATGCTGATGTCTTTAAAGAGTGATTCGAACAAATTATAGATCTTCTTCCTCAGAACTGTGTAATAGTAATGGGTAATGCAAGTTATCAATCGAGACTTATAGAAAAAATGCCCACAACCAAGTGGTTAAAAAAAAGATTTACAGGATTGGCTAAATTCAAAGAATATTAAGTTCCATCCCGGTTCTGTGAGAAAAGAACTGTATCATTTGTGTTCCCTTCATAAAGAGAAATTTAAAAAATATGAAATTGATGAAATTGCAAAAAATCGTGGGATGACGGTGGTTAGATCACCACCATATCATTGCGAAGTAAACCCGATTGAACTGATATGGGCACAGATAAAGGGAGAAGTTTCAAGAAAAAATAATTCTTTTAAAATGAGTGATGTTAAACAATTGTTTTTGGAGGCTGTAAATAATATGAAGCCTGAAAACTGGGAAAAGGCAGTAAATCATACGATTAAAGAAAAACAGAAAATGTGGAAGTTGGGACAACATTACTGATGAAATGATCGAGCCATTCATTGTAAATATTGGTTGCGACAGTTCATCCTCTGATTTCGATTCTGATTTGGATTTGTAGGTAAGAAGTAGTTTTTATATTAAAATTATTATTTATGAACGTAACGTTGTTTAAAAGTCAAAGTTTAAACCCTTATACCTACATAACCCGTTTGACACAATGTTCTTAACATACCTTGTGGAAAAATAAAACATTTTAGAAAAAATTGCACTTTTTTACCTTCAGCTGTTTAGAAGTTATAAGCAAGTTAATTAGGTGAAAATATAAGTGTATACTCGAGGAATAACTTCAAAAAATATTTTAACTGTCTACTAAAAGAAGTGATACGCCTATGGAATACGAACGCTTTATTATTTTAATACTCTCTCATACATAAAAATAGACATAGCTACAAGCTATTCTTACACTTAACCTAAGAGTACAATATAAAAAGAAGCATAATTATATTAATAAAATAATAAAGAAAATTAGATTTTAACTGATTTCATCATTAATTAAATTTCAAAATAATAATAATAATAATAATAATAATAAAGTTCGAAATATAAAACTAGATATAAAATAAAAATAAAAATAAAAAAAAAAAAAAATAGAAATAAAATATAATACAATGGATAATTTAAAAATAGTTAAAAAGTAAAGTTTAAAGAATTGCTGTAAGAGTAGATTATTTTTTTTTTTTTTTGAAAAATATGTATTCATTATAAATGTTAACAGATTGGTAGGTAAATGATTTCTGAAACATGGCTAAATTGTGATAAGGAATGTGAAAAATATAGAGCGGACATTTAGATAGAGGGTGCAGTGCTGATCTCACAACTAACTTATCCAAAAGAGTTTTTGGTTTATTTCTTTTTATGACATTATACAAGAAATTAATAAAATTATGTTGACGTTTATTTTTTCATTTTTAACCATTTACGTTCATAAATTTTTATGAGATAGTCAATCATATTTATGGAGTCCATAAACAAATCTAGCACAATAATTTTGTACTTTTCGTTTGTGATTTTGTGTATAAGAATCAATAAAATGTTCATAGACGACATCACCATATGAGAAAATAGACAAAACTAAGGACTCTTGATAACATTTTTTCACCTTCCAAGACAGACTGTGCCTTATGGAATATAACTTTTTTAAAGTCGAAAATGGTTTTTTAAAAAGGTAGTTTACATGCGAGTGGAAATTGAGATCAGAGTCAAACAGAATGCCTAGATTCTTTATGGAATCCGCTATACAGTGAGCATCATAAGTATTACCCCCCTAACTAACTCGTTACTGGAGTCTTGTTAAGAAAATCGCCGAGACACGTCGATTTTTGATTTCTACAATGTACATTTTTGTATGAATAGTTTACCCTTAATTTCATCCCTTACTGGAGGGAAGCAACCCTTTCGAAAAATTTAAATGGCATGGGGTGCTGTGTGATAGCTCATTTGAAGGGTTTTATTCTCTATTTAACCATGCAAAAAAATTTAAAATTTGCTTCATTACGTGTTAATTTATTAATGTTTAAAAATAACAAACTATCACAAATAGGAAAGCAACTAAACTAAGTGACCTTATCTAATGGCAAAAAGTCTTACAAGTCTAAACCGAAACCTATATCATACAGGGGAAAATGTTAATTCTAAGGATGAGTATGCTACGTTAATTTCCGTTATTCTAAAACAATAATTAGTCGAGAATTAATGAAGCAAATTTCAAAGATTTTTGCACGGTTAAATAGAGAATGAAACCCCCTTTCAAATGAGCTATCACTTACCACCCCATGCTATTTAAATTTTTCGAAAGGGTTGCTCCCCTCCAGTAAGGGTAAATTATTCATACAAAAATGTACACTGTAGAAATCAAAAATCGACGTGTCTCGGCGATTTTCCTAACAAGACTCCAGTAACGAGTTAGATAGGGGGGTAAGACTTATGAGGTAATTCCATTGTTTTTTGTTTTCAAATAGGTTTAGATGACATTTATTTTTATTAAGCTTAAGATTATGTTTAATTGACAATTTTTGAACAAGATCAAGATATTCATTTAAGGCTTGTTCAGCAACTTGATAATTATTACTATCAATGTTGTAATAAAGTTGGGTGTCATTGGCATATGCTTGTATTTTACATTTGCGAACAGATGTCAAAATATCACTGATATATAAAATAAAAAGCATTGGTCCTAATATTGAACCATGTGACACACCAGAATTTACGTTTTGTAATTAAGAAAATGGACTATTTAAAAGAAGTTTTTGTTTACGGTTAGACAAATATGAATTAATGAGATGAATAGAATTTTCAGAAAAACCAAAATATTTTAGTTTCAAACAAAGTATATTGTGATTGACAGTATCAAATGCTTTGGAATAGTCCAAAGCAACAAGTCCTGTAATTTGTCTTCTGTCTATATTTCTTACAATATCATCAGTAACAAAATATAACAGGTGTACTGTAGTCACTTCGGAAACCAGCCTGGCTAGCCGGAAGTATTTTGTTTTCATCAATATAAAGGGAAATTCTATTCTAGAAGGTACGTAATGTAATTATCAATATGCCGACTACAGTACTTCAGCATGGAGATTAACACAGCATCAAAACCCATGGCATTAGATTAAATATTATGGAGTAGTTGATTAAATTCTGACAGTTATAAAATCAAATGCTAGTTTGTTTCCATGCAAATTAAGTTCTAATAGGTCATCATCTACTTCATTGTCAACAAAAACAACACAAAAGTACTTATTTCTTCAGGTTTCTGCAGTGTTATAGGTAGGGTTATTTCTTGCTTTCTGGAATGAAGTTTATTTAGACCCTTCCATAAATCCTTGAATTTATGGGAATTGAACAGGTTGTCAAAATAGGCTTTTTTCACGTATAGAGGAGAGAGTGAAAGTTTAGTAATACATATAGTTTTTTGTAATGTATTGTCATTCCTCATTTTATACTATGCGCACCTGCGCGCGCATCTGGTCATGCG